CATATAAGCTGTTTGTGATCCTGAAATAAGTCAGTAACTACGTGAAGAGTGCAAAAACTCCACCTCTCATGGGCAGATTTTGGAATGTATGATTAGATGAGCTCTTTAACCTTTGCTGTTGTTTGTGATTTTATATTTTGTGATATGTTTAAACTTGATGTTTTATTATGAACCAAGCTATGATTTAGTTTAATGCAACAGATTACACAGTTCAATCATTACATGTAGTCACAATATGAAGTTTTCGTTTCGAGCTTTTCATCAAAAATTATATATAAAATAAAATCGCTGCGCATATTGAGTTAACTATTTTTCGATAAACTTAGTTTTAGATTTTTCGTTGCCCGTTTTTCAAACTGTTTGACCCGTTCTCAAGTTGAAACTAATTTTTGACTTCGTGATCATTGTTCCGAGCCTTGTTCAAATCATCTGAGAGTTCCGGATGCCACTAAAAATTTTCACGGGCCACTTAGTCGATGATTTTTCGACTAAGTATGAGTTATGGATGAATTTTGATTAAGTAGGAATTTCTAGTGAAATTCTGAAATATCAATATAAGTATTTTGAGATATTATCTTGATATAATTGTAAGTTCCTGAGGAGCCAATCTCATCTATCTACCGAGCTTTGTATATACTATTTCTTGTTTCGTCAAAACATGTGGATTTTATTTGAAATTGCTATGCAGTAAATTGTTGCCTTACGTGTGGTATGATCAAGGTATGCATGTGAACCATGTAGCCTTCGATGTGAGCTGTACCGGCCGTCCAACGGTTATTCCTGTAGCTATAAAACGTACCCGTTGGGTAATCTCCTTTTGGGAGCCATAAGACCATGGCGTAGGTTTTGGCTGGTGATCCCCGTTTGTAAGACTAAGGCGTAGGTCTTGGCCGGCGGGGTGGATTTACTCCTACTGGCTGACCATCGATGTAAAGCCCGATGGGCATTCGGTATTTTATCCAGCAGTAGTCTATGCATAGGTGTACACATGAGTCTTGATTTTATGACGATTTTATGATGGGAGATTGGGATAATTGATTGATTCTTATACATGCTGCGACCATACATGTCTTATATTATGATTATTGTTTATTGCATAGTGGTGAGCACTATGGATTTCATATGTGCTCACCCCCACTTTTTCTTCACAGATGCAGGTTAAGCAGGTGCAGGCACGGCGGAGCGAAGCGAGTGATTGTCGGTCAATATGACCAAATCATTTATTGTCTGCTTCCGCTATTTGAACTATTTTATGATTTATGATTTCATGACTTTGGGATATTATGATTTCATGAACTTGGGATTTTATGAACCCTGAGATTTTATGATGATTGAAAATAATGTTGGGGAGATGCCCCTTAGACTCTGTGATGATTTTATGAAACCCGATTTGGGTGAATAATGGCTTGTGATGAAACCGAATTTGGGAGTTGATTTTATGATTGATATGACTATCGACGTTGATTTTAAACGAGTAACGTCATAAATGTTTTGAAATGAGTTTCGAAAATTAAATTAATTTTTTTAAAAACCACAGATTTTTGTTAAATCAAAGTGGGGCGTTACAGTTTAAGCATAATTTCAATAAAAATATGACTTTTAAATCACAAAAAAAATATACTAATAATCACATGTGTTGCACGTGAAACTTCATAGTTTGTTATTAAAATGACAAGTTTAAACATAGGCAAACGTGCTAAGTAGCATACCATTTTTACTCCTAAAAACATTTAAGTATATAATAATCAAAACTAAATTTATTGTATATTGTAATGATGGGATGAAAAATTGCCACAGTTGATAAACGCCACTTCATAACGATTAATGAAGCCAGATACTAGAGATACATAATATTAATATGAATGTCAACTTCTAACTATCCTCTCCGGAAGTGCAAGTTTTGAAGTTGGTTGTCGTTGCATTAGGGTATTTCCAGTGCGGCAAGTCGCTGAGCTTACCTAATTTCGTTTCATAATATTTGACACGCTCCATCCTGTATCAAGGGACAAATTAAACAAACAAACCAAAAAAAAAAAAAAAAAAAAAAAAAAAAAAAAAAGAAACTTTGAAGGACATATATAAGAAAGCAAATCACAATTACCAGTAGACGAGGCATTGAAATGGTGCGTACTTATCATAGATTTCTGAAATAACAACCCGTCCATGGATTGTTGTAGTTATCCCTGTCTTTCCATGTACCTAAAAATTGAAATTGAAGTTGAATTTGTTGATGCTAAGGTGTTTTGTAAAGGAATAGAAGATGAAAAACAACCTGCTCCAAATGTTTGATTGTTTCAGTATCAACAGGAATGTGTTGATAGAAGCCAAGGCACATCATGATATTTGCAACCACAAAGGGGCCAAAACCTTTCTTCCTCATTAGAATTGGGCGGAGCTTGTCGTGGTCCAAATGTTGGAGACCATCTACATCAAAACTTCCATTTAGAATTGTTCGAGCTAATTCCAGTATGATCGATGCTCTGTATCCTAACTTGCAATTGTCATCCAGTTTCTTCTCATGCAGGCCAGCAATTTGTTGTGGACTTGGAAAGTTGCCCATGCAGTACTGATATTGTATCCGCCAGCAACATGATGATGATGATGATGATAATCTCTTTCTCTTTGATCCATTCCCATTCCCACCAAGCTTACATAGAGCTTCAGCCATTTTCAACGACCTCGCCCAACTGGACGCAATAAAAACATACATATGAATAAGGAAATAATTAATATTATACATTCCTGGACGAAAACAAACAATTAATACTTATAAACCTGCAATGACAAAGTAGAATAGTCTTGACAATGTCCTCAAATAAAGTTGGGGAGCGGAAAATTTGAGCAGAACCAGTTTCCTTTGCCTCTGGACAACGAATATGGAATTCCTTCACCATTCTATCATCCCTTTCTGAAATCCGCAACATCCGTGACACCATGCCCTATATGTATGCAAATGCAATGCATTTCTATAACTAAGTAATACAAATTCAACTCTCACCACATATACATATATATATATATATATATATATATATATATATATATACAATTTATTTGCACGTGTGTACCTGGATCTCTTCTTTGTCATCGTCTGAAAATTGGTGCTCATTTGAATGGAGCACCGTGACAAAAATAAAGTTTTTGCTGATTGTTGATTGTGTTATATATACAGTAACATTTTTGTTGCTGCTGTTGAGATGCAAGGGCCGTATGAGACACTTTTCAGATGGAATCCAACGGTTGGGAGCCATCATGAAGAATCCATGGTTACAAACTACTTTCTCAAGACAGAAATCCTTTGAAACTGCAAATAATTTCACTACTCAATACAATACTATAATATTCTATATATCTACTCCAACAAAATTCATCTCTCATTCAATTTTTACAAATTTAAAACACGCATCAACATTCATATGTTTTATTTTAATACATACATATTTATTACAGACTACATAATCATGTAAAAAAAAAAGCCAACATATAATATAACAAAGAAAAAAAGGTAAATATCACAACAAATGTAGTTTTTTTGAAAACCCGAATTACTAAAATTACCCAAACATATGGATCTATTTACACGAAAATATACAATGTTTTGCATTAGCACAACCCTTTGCATTTCTTGGGTGAAAAAGTTAAAGTGCAAGCACATTGTGCCATGAATATGCGATATATAGTTTTATAGCCTCGTGAACAAGCAGCCTGCTGAGTGAGTTTCGATGAGGGATTCATGTTGTAGGATTTCTAACAGAATTATAAAACGAATTTGCTAATTATTTAATATTCGATCTTTTCCTTTGTATTTCTTTATTTCTTTTTCCTTATGCAACAAACCATAAACACAAATTACAAAGAGGAGATATTACAAATATATATAACATGTCATTAATAATAGCTAATAGAAGAAGTGAGACTTTCTCATTTTATGTTTCATTCCATTAGATACATGACACATATATCCAACGAAACAAGATAGAATATGAAAAATGAAACAGGAGATTTGATCACTGAATAGAAGGCTTTATATGTTTATCTATCTATATAATCAACAATTTACCATAATCATCACTAGATCGTCCAATATCCAATTCAAACTCTAATACTTTCATCCATCATTTCTTGAAAACAATCTCTTTACATTAATTTATTTCTCTCCCAAATGAACCATCGTGAATGAAAGGCATCAGCCAAGCATCAACCACCACATTGTAACTGTGAACCACAAAATAATGCAGTAATGAAACTCAGCTCAGAGCTTGATATTACACCAACAAAAAAGAAGTCAAAAAAACAATTGATATGTGACAGTTATTTCACATAACCTTGGCACTTTCCAGGATATGAAAAAAAATTAAATTGTTAGCGTGAGGTGTGAAAAACAGAAGGAAGCACCAAAGACGGGTCAGTCTTTCTAACAGACATTCCCGTTTGCATAGATAGCATGCTCGTACATATAATACAAAATCATTTACCTCTGAAGGAAAAGCCAANAAAAAGGCAAATCATGTAACCACCTCCTACATTGCAATCCACCTAACCAAATCTCCAGAGTGCTGAAGAGTGGCTAAACAGTTGCAGTAAATTCAAGATTATCCCAAAATGGATGGATGAAGGAATGGATCGTTTGATTCATGGGGATTTAAAAAAATAAACGGAACACGAGCATCATTTGAAATATCTTTTAGGGTGGGGTGAAAAAGATTTTGATTCTAATATAAACATGAACTCCTATACTAAATAAAGTAACCCAATTCGTTTAAGTAGGCTGGCTGTCAATATAGTTAATGGGCTATCAAACCAAATTTCTGGGCTACCTTTCTTTTCTTACGAAATTCCCGTAATTTCGAATTCACCAGCGAAGTGAAGGAAAGCAAGTAGTTGCGGTTCAGCCACCCACAAGCCAGTAGTAAGGAAGGCACGTAGTAGTAGAAGACTGGATGAGCTAGTTCTTAAGCTCGGTAGCTACTAGCAAAGGAAGCTAAGCGGAGCCCTAGAAGGAATTGTATTGGGCTTAAGGCATAAGTCAAAAAGAAAAGTTTTTACCAATAGAGCTTTCTCTCGCTTAATTCAATAAACTGTTATTGTACTAGCTCCCAAGCATATCACAAAGAAAGGGTTCAACCATATATGCATAATCAAATCCATAAGCCCTGAAAAATGAGGCTACAGAGATTGGGATTTTCACCAAAGGGCGGTTTATCGTTTCTGAACGCCGATTAATTTTCAAAAATCAACAGCCCTTTATTTTTTTCCAAACAAAACAAAAAAAAAAAAAAAAAAAAAAAATATAATCTTGATGCCGTAATTAAATAGGTAGAAATTAATAACCTTTAACTAGCACAAGCTCATGGTTACAGGTTGCCTTGTGAATTTGATTCGAAGTATGCTGCCGTTTCTCCTTCATCGCAATTGAATGGTCGGCTCTCGTCAGCCGCGCCTGGAACTCGCCGGATACTGGTGAGCCGCAGAAAGGCCTGCTCGGCAGCCGCGTTGGGGGCCTCTCGATCGGCGCGGGTTCTGTTCGGTACTAAAGCCGAGAGCGAAGGTGCAAAGATGGACGGGAGGGCCTCTCCATCAAGTATTTTATTTATTTGTTTTATAAAATTCAATCATTCAGATTTATATTTGAGGATGACAAATTCACTTATCTTAATAATCTCATTCAGATTTATTAGGTATTGATTGGAGATATTATAATCAGGTTTTTTATTATTATATATAGATTAATCGTAAAATACTAATTTTATATATATAATCGATCATACTTTTTATTATTACACATAGATTATGTTGTCGTATGGATTTGTAACAACATCACTAACGTGTATATGACATGGATTAAAGCGGTAAATAGCAAGAATATGAGATTTTATTAATCTGTAAATGGCCGGTGTGTTATTGACCGAAATGAAAATAGTATAGAGTGTCGTCCCCCTCTACTGAAAGAATTTCAGTCTATATATAGTAACTTTTTGGTACACATAATGGGCAGTTTGGTCAGTCGGGCCCACGATCATCATGACGTTGAGCACGAGACGTAAGGAGGTCGTGTAGGCGCCTCGTCACCTGCTTCGGTATCGATGAACTCTGTTTTTTCCGAGGTGGGTTCTGGTGTCGGTAGATGATGGTAAGATTTTGAGAAGTCGATTGTGCCGAGAGGTCGCGGTAAGTCAGTAGCAGCCTAAAGTCGGAAGGAGTTTGGGGAGAGGGTTTTGTCCATGCATCACGTTGGTGGGAAGGTGCGAGTCTGAGGTCATGTGGCATTTTGAAAAGAGAAAAGTGTTTTGAGCCGTCCGACATCCTTGTCATCATTTTAAACCGTTGTCATTACGGTTACATTATTCGTAATCTGAATTACTCAGAATAATCCGCGAATTACCAAGTCGGTGGTTAACAGATTATATTTTTGATTCATTATATTGCATTCAGATTTATTAGGTAATGATCTAAACATATAATGATTATATTTAATTTAGAGTTACATTTATATAGATCAATCATTCATATTTTTTATAATCATTATATTTTTAACCCGAAATTTTACGTACTAAAATTTACGAAATAAATCTATAAATCTTACATTTTTCAGAATGAATTCAATACGAAAAAAATTTAGTCCAAATTTACGTGTGATTTTGAAGTGAAGATTTGAAATTCAAAATTTCTTCTCATTTTAGTTACAAGAAAATCGGGCTGCATTCAACACTTAGACCAATTTAAAAATTATTCCTTAAATGAAGGATTTTATAAATAATTACTACAAGAAATCTGCCAAAAAGTGACGAAATTCATGTGACGAAATTTTTTTTGTCACCGTATGTCGCACGAATTTAAGAAATCGTCATTACATCATTGCATACGACGACGACTACTACATTCGTCATCTTAGAATTTACTTTTCATCACATAATAGTATTTTTCATGACAATGCACCTCAATTCGTCACATTTATATAAAATGTGACAAAACTAAACGTGACAAACCAAATGTCGTCACTGTTGCTGTTATTTAAAATGACGCTTACCACTAATTTGTCATTACATAATTATTTATTGTGACGATACATTGTCTAAATTCGTCACATTAATATGTATTATGACAAAATTTAGTGCGACGAAATAAATATCGTTGTTTTACTATTTATTTAACATGACGCTTACAAAAATTTCGTCATTATATAATTTTGTATTGTGACGATTAGTTATAATCATCTAAATTCGTCATAATAATACATATTATGACAAAATTCACTACGACGAGANTATTTGTATTTAAAATGACGCTCACGTATAATTCGTCATTATATAATTTTGCTTTGTAGCGATACGTTATAAACTTATAATACATCTAAATTCGTCACATTATGCATATTAGACCAAATTCAATGCGACAAAATAAAGATCGTCGTTTGGTAATTACAATTACGCTTTAAAATAAATCGCTATATAATTTTGTATTGTACCGATACATTTCAACACACCTAAATTCGTGAGAGTAATAGATATTATGACTAAATTCTTTACGACAAAAAAAACTTCGTCCTTTTTCTATATTGATAAATTTCCATTATTATGACTAAATTCTTTACGACAAAAAAAACTTCGTCCTTTTTCTATATTGATAAATTTCCATAAAAGGTCTAGCAAATTTCTTCATAAAATATAGACTTTTTAATGGCAAATTTCTTCGTAATTGTTTAAAATATAACACACAATTTAACAAAAACTAGGAAATTGTCCAGATCCCTGATAACACTGCAAGCAGTTCAAAAGTTCAAAGTCTACTAACTGCTGAAAACTTAGATTACTTTTTTTATTTTATTTTTTTTCTTGAAACTGATATTTTTCGTTAAACAAACTCAACAAATGCAACCGACAATCAACTGAAAGCATTACCAACTTCCCTACTTTTAAGCAGTTGGAAAGAAGATAAATGGGGAATACATGAAATTTTTCTTCCCATTCGCACTCCAACACAACCCCAAAATCAAGAAAAAAAAAAACAAGCAAAAAAATTTGTTAAGATATATTGATCCTCATGTAATTAGAAACACGCTTTCATGTATCTGTATTAAGTAGCATTATTAGGTCTTATTTCAGTCTTTAGTATAAATAGAAGTGTTAACCTAATTTGTACCCAACAGTTTTCATTCTCTCTCATTCAATACAAAGTATGTTTTCTTTTCCCTCGTGTGCTCTCGATTTATCTCTTCAGAACATTCATTAGATCTGTTCTTCAGATTTTATCATGGTATCAATCGCTTGGGTATTTGATCGATTCTATATTTCCGCTGCTCTACTGGTTATGTTTTTCTGAAAATCACCTCTCGCGATTCTGTGTTTTTCGCTTCTGATTTCTGGTTTAGAACCCTAGATCTGTGCTTGATCTGCTCTGATCTGTACTGGTTTGTTGATCTCTATCTCGACTAGTACCAAATCTTTGTAGACTTGCTGTCGATCTCCGGTTTTTCTGTCTGATATGATGCCGAACCCTACCGATGACCCGATATCGCCGTATTTCGTCCACGCCAGCGATAATCCAGGTGCTTTGATTGTTGCTGAGCCTTTCACTGGTGATAACTATGTTTCGTGGTCGCGTGCTGTTTCTATGGCTCTCAGTGTTAAGAACAAACTTGGCTTCATTGATGGTACGCTTTCTGTACCGAATCCTACTCAGAATCCTACTGAGTCTCTTGCCTGGGTACGTGCTAACAATCTCGTTCTCTCTTGGCTCTTGAACTCTGTCAGTAAGGATATCCGTCAATCTCTTTTATTCTTTACTGTTGCTCATGATGTTTGGGTTGAAATCAAAAACAGATATGCTTTATCTAGCGGTCCTCGTGTCTTTCAACTTGAAAAATCATTGAGTTCCATGGATCAGGGTTCCCAGTCTATAACTCAGTATTATAATTCTTTTATAAGTTTCTGGGATGAGTATATTACCTATAGGCCTATATTTCGTTGTCACTGTGGTGCTTTAACCAATTGTACTTGCAATATTCTTGATGATATGGTTACTGCTCAACAAAACGACTCTGTGATGAAATTTTTGATAGGCCTCAATGATTCCTATTCGTCCTTAAGAAGCCATTTCTTACTTTCTTCCCCATTGCCTAGTCTGTCTAAAGTATATTCTCTCTTGCTTCAAGAAGAAAGTCAGAGACACCTTACTACTTCCTCTAAACCTTTTGATCCTGTAGCCATGGCTGTTCAAACTCACACTCACAATTCTTTCAAATCCACTAAACTTGGTTTTTCAAAGGATAGAAAGAAACTGAAGTGTACTCATTGTGGTTATAACCATCCTTCTGAAAAATGCTTTCAAGTCATTGGTTATCCTGACCATTGGAAAGGTCCTAGAGGTCCTAGAATTCACCCTGAACACCCTTCTGCTAACTCTGTGCATGTCAATACTCCAGATTCCTTTACTGACAATCTTTTTCATGAGTTCTTAGAGTTCAAAAAGTCATTTGAGAACAAACAGGGTGTTGGAACTGCCAATCCTTCCCCTGCTATTGTTGCATCTGCAACCATAAACCCAGAGCACTCAGGTACTGCACTTGATATCTCTCTATTTAATAAGTATACTTGGATTCTTGATACTGGTGCATCTGACCACATGGTGTGTGATTTTAACCTCTTTACTGATTTTCCAAAACCTGTGAGTATAAATGTGAATCTTCCTAATGGACAAACTGCATGTGCAAGTCATGTGGGACAGATAAATCTGGGACCTAATCTTGTACTGCACAATGCTTTGTTTGTTCCCACATTCACATTTAACCTCATCTCTGTTTCCAAACTCACCATTTCTAATAACTGTAAAATCAGTTTCTATTCTACTTATTGCCATATGCAGGAGCTGAACAACAAAACAATGATTGGTTTTGCTGAAGCTAAAAGTGGATTATACCATCTATAGCTTGCCAGCAATAATAACAATTTTTCTTGTAATTCTTCTATTTCTGAAAATTTTAATGCCACTGTTTGGCACAATAGACTTGGACATTTATCTTTTCATAAACTTGTTCAGCTTCCCTTGGCTTTGCACAAAAACATTGGTAACACTCATGCTCCTTGTGATATATGTCATTTCTCTAGACAAAAGGCTCTACCTTATGCAATAAGCTCCTCTATTGCTTCTGCTCCTTTTGAATTGATCCACTGTGACATTTGGGGACCATTCCCTGTTTCATCTTATGCTGGTCACAAGTATTTTCTAACTGTTTTGGATGATTTTAGCAGAACTACTTGGATTTATCCCTTACTGTCTAAATCTGATACTAAACATCATATTTTGCATTTTTCTAACATGGTAAAAACCCAGTTTAACTCATATATCAAAACCATCAGAACTGATAATGGATCAGAATTTTTCATGAAAGATTTTTTCATACAAACTGGGATTATTCATCAAACTAGCTGTGTTGAGAATCCTCAACAAAATGGAAGGGTTGAAAGAAAACCTCAACATCTATTGCAAGTAGCTAGAGCAATTATGTTTCATGCAAACTTACCTCTGATTTTTTGGATTGACTGTGTCCTAGCTGCTGTGCACATTATTAACAGAACACCTTCATCCATTTTACAAAATAAAACCCCTTTTGAGATTCTTTACAAAAAACTACCCACATATGATCATCTCAAAATCATTGGATGTCTGTGTTATGCCACTACCATACATTCTCATAGAACAAAGTTTGATAAAAGAGCATCTAAATGCATATTGCTTGGATATCCTCTGGGTTGTAAAGGATATAAGCTTTACAACTTGGATACCAAACATACATTTATCTCCAGAAATGTGATATTCTATGAGTCTGTGTTTCCATATAAAGACCTTTTCTCTACACAACCCTTGACAGATAACCTTTTTCCTGTCCCTACTGAACCTATTATTGACACTGATCCCATTAACACACAACCTATTGCCAATATTCAATCCCCACCTCCCATTAATACACAACCTACTTCTCCTACCCATACATTACCACAACCATTACCTCAATCCATTGCTGTGCCAACTACAAATATTCCTGTCTATAGCCCAACAAATACAAATCTCAGGAGATCCTCAAGACCAAGACAACCTCCTTCATACCTAAACATATATAAACATTCCTTACCTTCTACCTTTTCCAATGTGTCCTTCACTGACTCACAAACTCACACATCTGGAAACATTTTGCATCCTCTGTCAAATCATTTATCTACTGAAAGACTTCATAACTCTCATTCTTGTTTTACTGCTTCTATAAGCCTTATTAAAGAACCAAGGTCCTATAAACAAGCTGCCTTAGACCCTAACTGGCAAGAAGCCATGAACTCTGAAATCAATGCACTTGAGAAAACCAATACATGGATTCTCACAGACCTCCCACCTGGTAAGCACTGTATTGGGTGCAAATGGGTCTACAAAGTCAAGTACAACTCAGATGGCACCTTGGGCAGGTATAAGGCTAGACTAGTAGCCAAAGGCTACACTCAAGAGGAAGGTATTGATTACTTTGACACCTTTTCTCCTGTTGCAAAAATTACTTCTGTCAGATTACTTTTAGCCATTGCTTCAATCAAAAACTGGTTTCTTTATCAACTTGATGTCAATAATGCCTTCTTACATGGAGATCTTGATGAAGACATTTACATGACCCCTCCCCCTGGTTACATTGATCCTCATTCTACAAAAGTTTGCAAATTAGTTAAAAGTCTATATGGCCTTAAGCAAGCCTCTAGACAATGGTTTCAAAAGCTTACCTCTTGTTTATTAAACTATGGTTATGCTCAGTCTACTTCTGATTCCAGCCTGTTTATTAAAAATAAATCTGGTTCTTTCACAGCTTTACTTGTATATGTTGATGATATTATCCTGGCTGGTGATGATTTAGATGAGATCAATTCTGTTAAATCTCATTTAAATGACTGCTTTACAATAAAAGATTTAGGCAAACTTAAATATATGCTTGGCATTGAGGTTGCTCAATCTGAAAAAGGAATCCATCTCTGCCAAAGAAAGTATGCTTTGGATATTTTACATGATACTGGTTACTTGGATTCTAAACCTGCAAATACTCCCATGGACTCTAACATTAAACTCACTGCTGCCTGCTCTGACATTTTTCCTTATGTTGATGCAAAATCTTATAGACAGCTCATTGGCAGATTGCTTTATTTAACCATTACTAGACCTGATCTTTCATATTGCATTCAAGCACTTAGTCAGCATTTATCTGCACCTACTCAACAACACCTCTCAGCTGCTCATAGGGTGCTAAGGTATATCAAATGCACTGTGGGACAAGGTATTTTCTACCCTAGAACCTCTTCTTTATCCTTACATGCTTATTCAGATAGTGATTGGGCTGGGTGTGTGGATACTAGAAGAAGTATCTCAGGTTTTGCTTTCTTTCTTGGTAATTCTTTGATTTCCTGGAAATCTAAGAAACAACAAACTGTGAGTAGATCTTCTGCTGAGTCTGAGTATAGGGCACTTGCTAATGCAACTTGTGAAGCACAATGGTTATTGTATCTTCTTGCTGATTTTAATATTACTCACTCAGTCCCTATTACCATTTTTTCAGATAGTAAGTCTGCCATAGCTTTAGCACATAATCCTGTTCAACATGAGAGAACCAAACACATCGAGATTGATTGTCACCTCATCCGGGAGAAGCTTGCACAAGGCAAAATTGGTCTGCAGTTTGTCCCCTCACAGGAGCAAGTTGCTGACATTTTCACAAAACCCCTTGCAGTTCAAGCTTTTCAGTCGATTGTTTCCAAGATGAGCATGTTAAATATCCATGCTCCTCTTGCGGGGGGGTGTTAAGATATATTGATCCTCATGTAATTAGAAACACGCTTTCATGTATCTGTATTAAGTAGCATTATTAGGTCTTATTTCAGTCTTTAGTATAAATAGAAGTGTTAACCTAATTTGTACCCAACAGTTTTCATTCTCTCTCATTCAATACAAAGTATGTTTTCTTTTCCCTCGTGTGCTCTCGATTTATCTCTTCAGAACATTCATTAGATCTGTTCTTCAGATTTTATCAAAATTACAACATACTACAAGCAGAACAAGTCACTACAAGCAACACGATCCTGATTATTCATTTTGTCAAACTCATCAATATAAACAACCACTCTATCAGCAAGAACGGAAAGCAACGCCCCATGTGTACAGTACATGTATAAGCACTTCAAAAGTGATCAAAGAGCCCAACCTAGGTAAAAGCACTTCAAAAGTACATGTATAACTGAATTTAGTGTGATGTGTCCAAATGCCAAGTTTAATATAAACACAGTTCTTGACCGGTCTTCCCAGAATATTAACACCAAAAGAAAATTGATATTCACAGAACTTTGCTAATAAAAGTTCGTTTCAGATCGTCAACTATCTTTTGCGCTACCATTTACAGTCCACCAAAACTGAAAAATGGTCACAAACTCAAAGTAACAAAAACCAGAGGGAACCACCTCAGAGAGAGAAGACAACAGAGTTTAACTACATGATGTATCTAAAATCACATTTTCAACCACTTGGGTTAAATCTTCTTTTTGTCACTGGGCTTTTGCTCAGGCCCAACAGATGGGCCAGTTGTTGTCACCTTCGGTTGGGGGCTGGGACACAGGCTCGGCCTGTTGAGCCACAAACTCGTGACCTTTCAAAGACATGACATCCTCCTGGAGGTAGGGACTGGCAAATGAAGTTTAATGAAAGCCAATAATAAACTAATTATACGGTGAAATCTTTACCGGGGAAAAAAGAACTCAAACCTGTTCCACATCAAATAGGTTCCCTAGATTGAGACCTGTTGACATTGAAATCAACTCAAAGACATTCATGGCAGCAAGCTGCTCCTCATTTTTCTCTGTCACATGATATTCCTACAGCTCCCACAATATTTTTTTTTTCTTTTAACAACTAATGCTAAGTCATAAGGGGATTTAGGAAGTACTGAAATCCACGCACTTGCGAAGAACATACCTCATAATCCTTGAATACGGCTTCCACTTCATCCAGATTGGCATCGTCTGTCTCGTCAAACACCGGTGGTTTATAGACTATAGTCCTTAAACCACCCGTACTCTCAAATTTCTGGGATTGTGATGCGGTGCACAAATGTAAGTCATAGAGCATTAATTCATGTATAGTGAGAGGGATAGTTTTCTGAGTATAAAATTATGTTCCTTACTTTACTCCGACCATATGATGTTTTAATATGTTTTTGTCGGCTACATAGAGATAATATTAAGTGTACTTGAAAAGGCATTGAAAAAGGGAACTTTCATACGCTAATCAAGTAGAAAGTTGTTTCAAAATTGGCAAGTCATTGTGACATTAAGAATAATTAATACTTTTTTTTTACGGAAAATATATAAACACCAAAGAAAAGTATTTTGACATGTTTTATGATGAATTATAGTAAGCTAATATTTAAAAAATCTCATCAAGTGTATACTATTAAGTTCTTACATTCTCGGGATTTGGAATCATCAAAAGGCAAGTAACCTGCAAGCAACACGAAAAGTATAACCCCATTTGGAATCCATTTAAACTTGTATCAACAAAAAACTCATTAGGTTTGATATGTAGAAAACGCATACATGATTAGCAAATGAACCAGATAGAATGCAGTCAGATTCCATAACAAACCTTAAATGAATAACTTTCTGCTTTCAAACCAACAATTTACGTCATAAAAAATATAAAATCCAACTAAGTACCAGACTAGAAAATATTAAAAAGGCTTTGCCCAAATGCTGAACATTTTAACATGGTAACGAGTAGAGGTGCAATATTACTAAGTATTAAGTTCCCAACATCAACAACCAACTTGATAATAATAAACAGATATGCACTATTTATGGACGCCAGCAGATCAAACCCAAAATATAGAAAAAAGAAATATTAGAAAAAACAGACCATCCACTTGCCATATCAATGAATTACGGAAGTTACCAAAAAAAAACTATAGACCCTTAAGGCACGATTGGTATAATGGAATGAAATTTCGTAGGAATAGAATGAGTTGAAGAATGGAATGATTATGGGAATGGAATGAAACATGTTTTATCATTGATGCGTTTGGTATGCAGAAGGAATAAGACTGGAATGGGATGACATTATCTTTTTTTTTATTATAAAAATGAATAAAAGCTTTTTTTAAAAATAATATAATTTTAATAAATTATATATAAATGCTTTTTAATAATATATAAAAATAAAATAATATATTTTTAATAATATATAAAAATAAAATAATATATTGTTCAATAATATAAAAATTAATATATTTTTAATAATATATAAAATAAAATAATATATTTTTAAATTATATATAGAAAGTAATATATTCTTAAAAGTAATATATTTTTAATATATAAAAAATAATATATTTTTAATAATATTTAAAAATAAAAAGTAATATATTTTTAATAATATATATTTTATTTTTTAATTAAACGGTAAATAAAGTAAGTTTTCAATTTTTTATTTGAATTTTATTTTTCAAAATAATATATTTTTAATAATATTTAAAAATAAAAAGTAATATAATATTAATAATATATATTTTCAATATTTTTCAATAATATATTTTTAATAATATATTTTTAATAGTAATATAATTTTAATATATAAAAAATAATATATTTTTAATAATATATAAAAATAAAATAATATATTTTTAAATTATATATAAATGCTTTTTTTAGTTTATTTTTATATAAGTATTTAAGATACTAATTAAAAAATAAATAAAAGTAAGTTTTCAATTTTTTTATTTGAATTTGTTTTTAAAATAATTTTATTTAATATATTTTAATCATGATTTGTAATATATAATATATATTTATATTTTATTATTATTTGTTAATTTTATTTTTTGAAAAATTGATTTCTACACACATGGGAATGAGAAAACCTTCCATTTACTATGGAATGGCTAATCCCATGGAGATGGGTTTTGCCATTCCCATTGGAATAGTCACTCCTTCCCAAAAAATATACAAATCATGGGATAAGGAATGAGTAAGGGAATGATCATTCCATTCTCATGTCATTCCTTCCTACCAATCATGCCATTAAGGTTAACATATTGCAAAGGTAAAGCATCTCCAGGTCACTAAAGCATCTCCAGGTCACCAAAGCATCTCCGGGTCACAGCATTGTACCTTACAAGTCTTTTATTTGGGAATGTATCAGCATATATATTATTTTGGAAGTTAAAATAGGTTCATGCGTTTATGACCGGCATAAAGTTTCGTCTAGAGTTCAAGCACATCACTCTCTGTAGTTATTCGGTAACAGAGCTCTAACATTGAGAACCAAATCAAGCAGACAATCCAATTTAGATTTTCAAATGCTGCGTGGTCTAAATTTTTTATTTTTGAACTTAATCATTCAACTTAGATTTAAAGTTAAATAATCTATTAGACTCTGACTTAACACGTTATGTATCTGGAAAACTCAGATATTTGCCATGGTTCAAAAATAACACAAACAGACACCTTGCAACCTCAAACCTCAAATTTTATTCTACAGATTATTGAATACCATAGAACAACTAAGGGATGAACAATAACTATCGGATCAATGCTAATAACAAGGAATTTTCACAGATAAATTTATAGATTAGCCCAGTGATTAAAATAGCAGCGCCATGTAGACGAATGGCGCGAGGCGTGGCGAGGCAGGGCCTCAGCGCCTCAGCCCCTTGGCCTTGGTAGATAAAAAACAGAGTGTGTTAGTTAGATGAGGATTTTCCAGCAAACTTAAATTCAACATATACCTGTAAGTGAACTATTTTTCTGAAGAAATCTTGTTCTGCATCATCACAGCATAAAGCCATGTATGACTCAAGTTTTGCTACAGGAGATAAAAAAAAAAAAAAAAAAAAAAAAAATTGCTAAATTGTCAAAGTATACTACACGAATTGAAAAATTACCTTGTGCCTTTTATTCCAACGGTGACGGCGACCAACCTCCGGCAGATAAGAGGCGACGGCGTCGGCGAGAGGTATGCCTTTCGATTTTTCTTTTCTTTTTCTTTTTCTTTTTTCCCTTCTTGCTTCAGTCCTTCTCCACCGGTGACGTTGCGGGTTATGGAAATTGTCTGTTCCGGTTAAACTTCCGTCGCCGGCGAATACTCTGTTGGGACCTGTGTGCGAATTACTGTAAGAGCGGCTGTGTTTTTGTTGGGACCGAATTCTTCTGTTTCAATGTTTGTACTGTAACTGCAAATATAATGTTAGTGTAGATACTTATTAGATTAATTTCGAAAACAAAAAGATACTTAGATTAATTAAGAGACTTAGAATTTTAATCCAATTAAGGATTTTCAATTAAGTGTTAGAGATTCTCAAGAAATTCAATTAAGAGTTGGGGACTGAACCGAGCCTAAGGTTTTCGAGCCCGGGTTGGACTAATTTTCGAACATGTTTGTGTTCGTTCATTTAATATTCGAATAAAAATTTCCGTTCGTGTAATTTTTTTAAAGTACCATATAAGTTATTTTATTTAACATTTAACCTATTTTCCATACTTAAATATTATATTATGTTTATGTGTATATTTTACTACGTATACAATTATATAGATAAAATTATAAAATACTTAGTTGTTCGCAAACGCTGGTTTAGTTCGCGAACTTGTTCGTATTCATTCAAAAACCAAATGAGCATAATTTCATGTTTGAATTTGGATCGATTACTAAACGAACAAACTGTTAGCACTGTTGTAGCATAAATTGTTATTTTTACCGAGTATCGAATCAAGGATTCGTTTCCCGGGTTGATCTCTCGAGAAAGGCGGTTCGAAATTTAACTTTGGTATCGATAACCCACAAAAAAGAAAATAAATCCTAAATACTCTAATCAGATAGAAGATTGGATGAATTATTAACTAAGAAATAAAATAAAACAATAATCTACCTAAGAATATAAACGAATAAAGATGAAAAAGCTAGAGAGTCGGGGACAATTAATTCAAGTTCTATTTGCACACTGGGACATTAATCATTCTATTCCAGACTGACACTCTCGCTTAAACATCTAGCGGTTCGCTCCCAATAACTCTTCGTAACAAGGGATTGAACATAGACAAACAACCTCGAGCATACAATACAGGTCAATTATCCAATCCAAATAACTTTTCATAACAAGGGACGGGTCATTGACAATCACGTATTTCAATACAAAACCTATAGACTATTCAATTACGAAATCATCTACCTCATGCGAGCCTAGGTCTACGACTTCTCCCCTTTTGGTTCTGAAAGTCGCTAATTCAATTAGAAGGTGTTTAATCAACTAATCATATAGAATCAACAAACCCTAACTCGACAAACTAACATTCAATTGTTTCCAATTGCAATATCGAAGTGTCACTCTTCGATAATATCAATCAATCAAGCAAGAATATATCAATTCCGAATTTATTTAACTCACATAAGCATGAACGAATCAAGCCTGGCAACTACAATTCAAACAAGTATAATCATCCCCTATCCCTATTCCCTAGCAATCAGAATTAGCTACGCAAATTGAATTCAACACAATAATTCATTTCTCCCAATTCAACCATTATTCATGAATTAAACAAGAGAGAAAAGAAACTTACCAATAATCTCAAATCCAAATGTTGAATACGAATTACAAGCTTATTCCCTAAACACTAAGAAGAAGAAGAAGAAGAAAAATGGAAAAGAAAAGTGAAGAGAAGAAGGAAAATGAAGAAGAAGAAGAAGAAGGAAGAAAAAGAGGAGAATAGAGTGTTCATGGTGTTTTTCTCGACCTAGGGTTTTTACCCTGGAGGGCGAGATTATTCATAATCTGGTCGCGATCCCATATTTATAGTTAGGCGAGTGACGCGGCGTGGAAATCCTAGCACGACGCAGAGAAGGGCAGCCTTGCGGCGAGGAGCTCAGTCATGGCGCGGAGAAGGGCTGCCTCACGGCGCGGAGCTCAGTCACGGTGCGGCACAGGGAAGCCTCAAGGCGCGGAGAAGGGCGCGGTGCGGCAGACTGCTGGACGTGCTTCTTTGTTGGCCTCGTGGAGCATGGCGCGGGCGCGGAGGGTCGTGGCTGGTCTCAGTCAGGGTCGCTGCATGATTGCTAGCTTCCGTGCACGACTTTGCGACTCGGGTTCGTTTGGGCTCATTTGGACTCAGAATTCGATTCCATTTTTTCCTGCTTGTTGCCAACGAACCTCTCTATTCAATTATGCTTGCTCGGCCAATATTTACCTGAAATCTTATTCTCCCGAAGCTTCCAACCTGCACACCAAAAACGAAGAAAAACCAGAAAAACACACGAAAAATATATAGAAAACCAAAATATAGCAAAACACAAAATAGACTATAAAAGCGAATAAAAACTAATGAAAAGACATAAATCGGGAAAAAAGAATGAAAAAATAACAACAATCACAAAAATGGGACAAACAACTCCCCCACACTTAAACCTTTGTGTTGATAAACGTATTAATCAACGTAATTAAGATAGAAAACGCAACACGAATTACGGAAAATAAGATTTGTATTGATTTATATGAGATTGGTCACAATTCCGAACAAGTCGGTATCTTAATACAGGAGGTCGGAAAATAGAGGAAGCCGAGATAATAAATGCATGAATTTAATGTGTTGGTCGTGGTCCTCGTATCGATTTTAATGTTGCTATTTATAGTTACGTTTGGCACACCTTCCAAGAGAAGTCGGCTGCATTTAATGCGGATTTGATGTTTTAGGGGCGGCAATGATGTTAGCACACTTTTTAGGTAATGATGAAAACATGGGCGTCCCTCTTACCGAGTGACAGATGTCACTTCTGTCGGGTTGAGGTTGGGTTTTCCTGGACATCAGTTGCTCCACAGGTCTGTTGACCTGCGACGTCCTTCCCAAAGAACCGAGATGGCAATCCGAGATCTCTTGTTCAATGTTGGGACAATTTGGGAGTTTGCTTTGTTGGTTTTAGGAACCGGGGTGGTAGTACCGAGATGCCGATTAGTTACCGAGATGAGCCCGAAGATCTCCATCGCACCTCGGTCTTATAATTTTCACTTTCGAGTCCTTCTTAAATTCACTCGAAAACACCCTTAATCTGTTATCAAATTTTTCTCGTTCTTTACTCATTCCTCAATTGACTTTCTTTTAGAGTTCGCTCAAGTTTTTGGTAAGCCCTAATTTCACTTTCTGATTTCTCAATATTTTTTATTTTCCTCTGCCTTTGGATATGGCGGTTAGTGATGAGCAGAGAGAACCAAGTAGCAGCCGGACCGTGTCTGATACGGAACTGGATGGTGAATTAATGAATTGATGGGGGATTACTACCGATGGGATCTCGTTTTCGTCGAGCGTCTGGACATCCGAAAGAACAATATTGAGGGAGATGCCGAAGTAGAAAAAGATATTCCCGTGAAGTCGGGATACTGGAGTCGTCCTGCTCGGCGATGGCCTGATGATGATGTATTATTTTTAGGGGAGCCAAGCATCATGACAGACGCCGATGGGGTTCTACTGCGTGAATCGGTGCGGATTCCCTCCTCAGTTAGAATCTTTGCTCCTTATCCGAGAGAAAGAATTCATTTTCCTCCCCCCCGGTTGTGTAGGGATTTTTGCTGAGAGCCTAAGGTCGGGGCTGAGGTTTCCCTTAGACAACGTGATCACTGATTACTTGCGTGATTGGGGCCTTAGCATCAGTCAAGTGACCCCCAATAGTTGGAAGAAGATTATAGGAATTATGGTTCTTCTGGCGCAGAAGAAACAACCATTCCCAACGATTGATGAGTTGAGAAGTATATTTCACTTTAAGAGGAGTAGGGAGCGTGAAGGGGTCCCACAGACTGGTTGTTTTTTCTGCGCAGCGAGGCCACAATATGACTTAAAGATGGGGCAGCTGATTACAGGAATCCCAGAGACCCTTCATGGCTTCCAGGATGAATGGCTGTGGGTTGGTCGGGATTGGCAGTCCTCCGACTTCCAACTTGAGACACCCATTGACGGGATGACAATCCCAACCCGAGTTGTTTCTTCTTTTCGTAAGTTTCTCTCTTCTTCCTGAAATCTCCTGACGACATGTTTTTCTTTCGCTAACAGGTCGGGCCTTTTCGTATTTGTAGCCAAAAGGAAGTCAGAATCCAGACTCAGCGGGGAATTCAGGGAGAAACTCGAGGATTTGGCAAAACTAAGTGCTTCGGAGCGTAATTGGTCTTTGTTGACGAAGAACTCAAAGCTTGCGGACGCCAAATTAGGAGCGAAGAAGGCTATTCCTGACTTCACTGGTAAGTTTTCTATTACGTTATTTAAATCATTCTTTGTTTGCTTTCCTTTCTCTCCTGCGTAAATTGAAGGAATCCTTTTACTGTATTTTATTTTCAGTTTATTACCCGTTACTTGGTTTCTTCGGTTTCAAGTCTGTTCGAGAGGCAAAGGATTACCGACGTCAGTTTTCTGTCAAGGATACCGAGATGAGTCATATGAATTTTTTGGAAGGATTGAAGAAGAAGGCGGCGAGTCGTGCTTCTAGGGGTACCGACATGGGGGTCATGTCAGACTCGCCAGAGACAGTTGTGGTACCGGCCCCAATCATCGAGTCTGTTTCGGAACCTGCTCCATCAACAAATATCGGGATGCCGATTACAACTCTTGTCCCTGCCCCTAAAGTTGAAAAGGATGTTGCCCCAGAGACTGAGAAGGACGTTGCAACGGCTAGCCTAGATCGGCATGTGATTGTATCTAGCTCAAAAGAAACCGAGATGGTTAAGAAAGCTACCGAGGGTTCTTCAACTCAAAAGAAGAAGAAGAAGAAGCCGAAGAGAAAGCCTGGTGATGATCTCGAGGCGGCAGAGGAGCGACGGTCCAAGGCAAG